GTTGTTCCATTCTCCTCAACTCTTCCAGCTTCTTCTCGAGAATTGTGCCAATGGTATCGCTTCCCAAAGGTGCTCCAAGCAAGACGCTGTTTGTAGGGGCAATGACTGATGCTCCTGGTAGTTTTGATCTCACTGCATTTATCATTTGCTGATAAATTGAGATGATTTCACATTTGGATGTATTCAGGATGAGACCCATTTCCTGTCTCCGTGTCATCACCTGTGTATGATCATCTAGAAGGGACTCCTTTGTACCTGCTAGTGTGCCATCATCCAGGAACCAGATATTCAACTCACTGGTCAGCCTGTGATTTCCCTAACCGCTGTACAGAAGAGAAATGGTGCTAGAGCATCCCCTTGCTGGACACCCTCTGATGATGTGATTTCATGCTCTCCACACAGGAGCACTGATTCCTTGCTATTTCCAGCTGAAATAAAAGGGAAGAGACCAGGGAAATGTTCTTGTACAGCTGCTAATACCACATCTCTTTTCAGGAGATTAAATGCATTCTTGAAATCTAATTTTACCACTGCAGTGTCCTCAGGCAGGTTGTTGATATACGACCTTGTTGCATGAACCACTGCTTCACTTCCTTGAGAGACCACAGTGCCAAGCTGGTTTGGTTGAAGCCTCATGACCGCCTCTGTGTGAATGCTTCGGACAGCAGCTATGGAAACGAGGCGGCGAAAAGTGTTGCCCAGTGCAAGTGACCTAATTCCTCCATCCTTCTTTTAAGGGCACGAAGTGATGTAGCAAAGAAGAAAGGTTTAATTTCGTCAGTTCGCTATTAAATTGCGCTCTGAGCTGATTACATCAGCTCAGAGGCATCCACACCACCGTATGCATGTCCTTCGATGGCGGGTACAACATCTAGCTTGGCTGGATGCGCCATTGTTAAGGATTGTGTGGTCTAAAGCGTCATGCGTTTTCGCTCATCATGAGGCGGGCCAAAACAGCATGGGCTCGTCTCCTTGGCTAGTGCAGTGTTATTGTTATATATATATATATATATATATATATATATATATATATATATATATATATATATATATATATATATATATTGTTTTAGCCTTGCTTAAGCGCCCCATTATGCTGCTTCTAACAACTGAAGGAAATACAAACAATGTACGTGTATATGAGAGCAGAAAATAAGGGAAGTGGGTTAAAGAGAAAGAGAATGAGAGAGGAAATAAAGGAAGGGAGGTAGGAAAATGAAGCAAGGGGTGAAGAGCATCAGGGTGAGAGAGAGGGACGGAAGGTAATACAAGCAGAAGGGAAATAAGTGGAATAGGAGGGAGGGGAAGGGCTTGGGAATGACGGACAGAGAAAGGTTGTGCTGTCTATGTCGAAGTTATCTGCTGAGGACTTACTACACTGCAGTTTCCTAAACTGCTGTCTAGACTGATGAGGAGTGGAGAGTGAAGCAAGAGACTTTCTCCACTCCCTCTATCCTCTCTCCATTCCCTCTCCCCTCCCTCCACTCCCTCTCCATTCTAACTACACATCCCAATATAAACAATTCGATGAAGAGCATTATCATACAGTGGTGTGTAAATTAACTAGAACAGGAGTAAATTTTCTGATTATCTCATAATATGTCTTAATCTCCTTCTTGATTATTGTAGTTTGAGTTATTTTTTCAGAAGAGTTTGCTACCGACTTCTGGCAACCATCCAGCTGTGGTGTTACCCTGCGACTCTCGTCAGTGCTACTACAGCTGTTGTTCTGTAAAGCTATTCGAGCAAGCATGCTCTGTGAGTGAATGTGGTTTCGTCAAATTGTCCCCTACAATTCATGATTACTACTGAAATTCATGATGGATATTGCACCTAGGTAGCGTGCAAGTATTGTAGTTCGTAGAAAACATGCTGATTTGAGTATCAGACAGATCGCCGAAAATTTGAGACCAGCAAAGTCAACTGTTGGTTGGATTCTGAATAGAGCTGATAACACTGGTGATTGTGGAGCGCTGCGTCAAGGAAAATGTGGAAGAAAACGCAAGACAACACCTCTCGATGACAAGGTTATTATATAAGAAATAGTGTGAAAGATCTCAAGAAAACCAGCAAAGATTTGACTTCAGCTGGCGTAAATGTTGATTCTTCAGTTGTTCGACAAAGGCTCGATGAAGATGGCAGAACTGCCAGAAAGCCGGTAAAGAATAATTATTGACTGCTGCTTTAAGAAAATAGGCTGCGGTGGGCACTCGATCATAAGGGATGAAAGTCAGATGAATGGAAAAAGTTATATCTGCAGATGAGGCGCATTTTGAAGTACATGGATACAGATCAGTGGCAATGAAACGGGGCAAAGGCGAACCACTTCGGAATGGACACATTCAACAAGCGCCAAAACACCTAAGATTTTTGGGATAGTTTTACTGCTAAAGGCCCTGGACGGCTTGTTATTGTTGAGGGAACGATGAACAATGACAAATACAAGGCAATTCTGGCAACTCGTTTGCTCTCCATTGTGGATAAAGATTTTCCTGATGGAGAAGACATTTTCCAGCAGGATCTTGCTCCATGCCACACTTCCAGAAAAATGCTGACATTCTTCCAAGAGAGTGAGCTAAGCGTTCTAAATGGACCTGGAAACTCCCCTGACCTCAACCCAATTGAGAATCTATGGGCAATAACCAGCAGGATCGAGAAACAGGACTGTTCAACTGGTACCATCACGAAGAACTTCCAAAATGTGCTCAACATTGGACGATTCTATGCCAAAGCTTGTATTAATTATTATAAAGGCAAAGAGTAGTCATATATTTTATCAAATCAATTATTTAATTATGTGTCATATCACTGCCATGTATTTTTCAAATATTAATTTTCCAAATGTCTTATTTCATCACTGTCCCAATTAATATGCACACTACTGTACTTTGGCAACGCTCATGGGTATGTAAGAGAACAGTAGATGTAGAAAGTTTACTGTTACATCTACCTCTGCTACGAGACACAGTAGCTCCTCGGACCTCCAGAGGCATTATGTCGCATGTGGATAAGCTTGGCGTATGTCTTCCCTTGTGTTATATCTCTCAACACTCGACTCTGATTTTCAGTAAGCCTGATTGGTGTCATAAATTAGTTATAAGACACTCTGATGTTGGTATCATTAATGGGGCCTCAAGCTACTCTCTCGAGGCTGTCTTAAAAATAAGGCATTAAACCAGAGTTCCTCCGCACGTTCATTCAAACCCCAAGATGATGTTCCATCTGGCCCCTTTGCTTTATTTATCAGTGCCTAATAATTACCTGACTTGCTATCTTTCTAGTTTAATAGTGTTCACTGAAGTGGTCAGTTTGATCTCATCCTCGCGGATTGTATCTTGTGTGAACACTGTAGAGCCTCACAGGTAGTGTTCTCAACGTTCCCGCTAGATCAGTAACTATCACTGATCACTTGTATCTGCCCAGTTACTCTCACCTTTCTTTTTACATGTTTTGAATATTGATTCTCCTTGACTATCTTCGTATCGAGCTGATTTCGCTCTTCTTTTCTGTATCTCTCTTAAACTGATTATGAATATGTTAACTAAGTCATTGTCGTTACTAATTCCACCCTCTTTCTTTCTTCATTGGTGTTTCATTAAACCATTGGTTTTATTCCTTATATTTTGGTTTATCATAAGACTGCTCTGCCTTTTCTCAATATAACATTCATTGTTATACCTCTATAATATACATCTGTAAAGTATTGTTTCTGTAGTATAATCTACACTGTTCATATTTTTCTTTACTTTTCATTTAAATCAAATTTCGACTTTATTTTTTTTTTTTTGCGTACTTCATGCTCACTTTTCAATAGGATACTTAAGCCTAATATTTGGAATTAATTCTTCTTCTTTTCCTACTGTGTGTGTGCGGGGGAGGGGGGTGTCCCCGGGGGAGAAGGACGGGGCGTTGTCCGAGTCGGTGGTGAGGATGGTGTTGGAGGTGATGGAGGTGGTGGTGTTGGTGGTGATGTTGGAGGTGTTAGTAGTGGTGGTGGTGACGGTGGAGGTGATATCACAGAACATGACAGAGTCATCGGAGACGTGTGTTTAATGAAACTAAGCTTGTCAAGAAGTGTTGAAGACAGTTAGGGAATGAAGAGAGAAACGCAGAGGAGTGAGAGAAGTGCTGGAGGGAGGGAGGGAGGGAGGGAGGGAGGGAGGGAGGGAAGTGCAGTACAGAGACCTCGCCAACTCAGCCTGTCACCGGTCCAATGGAACACAATTCCTTGCTGATACACAGAGTGGAGGCAAAATTCAATTCTGGTGGTTTGTCTCGTGTGATCGACTGGGCTGTGGTAATCAGGTTTACACCGGGGACAAGTGGCCAGCTCTGCTTATCTTCAATTTAGCCGCCTGTCCAGCCAAGTGTGGCCAAGTGTGGCCCCAGCACCCACGTGTGAGAGAGGCCAGCGGGAGAATAGGAAGAGGAAGAGGGCCAGCAAGAGGAAGGAGAGACAGAGAGATATAGAGAAGGGCGATATGGAAGAAGAGACGTAAAGAGAAAGACGTACATAGAAGAAGAGAAAGAGATCAACAAAGAAAAAAACAATCAAATAGTAAAGAAAACTGTGCTGAAGGAAGAGGGAGGAGAGGAATAATCTAACAAAGAAGAGGAGAAATATAAGAAGAAAACGGTAGGGAAGAGCGATAAAGAAATATGTAAGAGGAAGAATGGAAAGGAAAAGCAGGAAGACGATGAGGAGAAAAGAAAAATGAAAAAGACAGAAAGGAAGAGGAAGAAAATAACTAAGAGTACGTGAAGGGTTGATAAAGACGGGAGAACAGTAAAGTTACCTCCAGTGAGGGTCCTTGATGCCAGTGACAGCGAGGGCTCTTGATCCAAGAACTTGGACCCGGCCTCCCCAACCATTGTAACTAAACGACGCTTTTGTTTATTTTTTCAAATTTCGCAAATAGGGATCATTAATAGACATTACAAAATTTAGATGATAATTTATTGATATTATATATATATATATATATATAAACTAACCTGTATATATAAACTAAACCTGTATTTAAATGTACTATTTTGTATTAATATTGTCAGAATTACCGACAATATTTAGGTACTGACACAGTACAACTACTGTGACATTTATGGTGTCAAGGTTGACACCATAAATGTCATATTAGTTGTACTGTGTTATATTACCTTACATGTCTGATTTTATTTTTAACTTTTTTTTATCTTTACGTCACTGAGTGTGAGGATCGTCAGTGAGTGTGGGGATCGTCACTGAGTGTGAGGATCGTCACTGAGTGTGAGGATCGTCACTGAGTGTGGGGATCGTCACTGAGTGTGAGGATCGTCACTGAGTGTGGGGATCGTCACTGAGTGTGAGGATCGTCACTGAGTGTGAGGATCGTCACTGAGTGTGAGGATCGTCACTGAGTGTGAGGATCGTCACTGAGTGTGAGGATCGTCACTGAGTGTGAGGATCGTCACTGAGTGTGGGGATCGTCACTGAGTGTGAGGATCGTCACTGAGTGTGGGGATCGTCACTGAGTGTGAGGATCGTCACTGAGTGTGGGGATCGTCACTGAGTGTGAGGATCGTCACTGAGTGTGGGGATCGTCACTGAGTGTGAGGATCGTCACTGAGTGTGAGGATCGTCACTGAGTGTGAGGATCGTCATTGAGTGTGAGGATCGTCACTGAGTGTTTGGGTCGTCTCTATGTAAGGGTCGTCGCTTACTTGCTGGGAGTGACCCAGGCATCCACGACCTCATAGGTGTATTCCTGGTTGTGAGTATCGTAGTGGTGTTGCTGTTGGGATCCTGAATTCTGATCCCGCTTCCCCTCATCCCCTGGCGTCGTTGCCGCAGGCGTCTGCTCATATGCCGACTCCTCGGCGTCGTAAGGAGTGATATTGGCGTACACTTGGCTGTGAAGATTCTCATACACTGGATCCTCGTGATGGAGTTTCGAAGGTAATCTGCTGAGATTAAGGTAAGTATGATCTTCCTTCTGATCTCTGCTCGCTTGTGCTGTTACGAAGTCCTGACCAGGGATCGAGAAGGGGTCGATGTACTGTGGAGAGTCGCGATCAAAAGTATGTTTTCCATTCGCGGTATCCACCTGCTTCGAGGGATTCCTCCGTAAAATATGAGACCTCTCTGACGAAGGGGGTTCCTCTTGACGTGTACCACCACCTTCAGCGTTTCCTGTATCAGCGCCGCGTCGAGCCGTCGAGTATTTCAGTCGACGACGGAGGTAGAAAGCGTAGCCGAGTGACATCAAGAGCACCAGAATCAACAGAGCAAAGCCAGTGCCGATCCCTGCATGCACGGCTTTCTTGTTATATGTCTCCGGCGTCACCACAGGTAGTGGTGTGGTTACCTGCGTGGTGCTGGTGGTGGGGGTGGACGAGGTTGTCGTAAGAGGCATTGTTGAAAAATTAAGTCTTTTCGGCGCAAGTTCAATTTGCGACATGATGCCTGTAGATAGAAAAACAAATTAACATCAAGAGAGTACTGTTTGTCAGCGTGATAATAAGCAAGTGATTGAATCCGTAAAATAGACTAAATGCAAACACACAGATCATTGGGGGAATGTGATGACGTAACTGTCCAAGAGTTTGAAAGGAAAGAAGCTAATGGAGAAATGTTCACCAGGAAAATGTTTCGCTCAGTGTGGACCGTGGAGGTGCTCTCACCTGGTCGTGGTGGTGCTCACAACTGCACGTGGTGGTGCTCACACCTGGACGTGATGGTGCTCACACCTGCTACCGGTGGCGCTCACACCTGGTTGCTGTGGTGTTTCCACGTGATAGTTGCATGCTTCTGTTGTTTCACCTAATTCAAATTTACCTGCAAGAAATAAATGTATTATATATATATATATATATATATATATATATATATATTATATATATATATATATATATATATATATATATATATATATATATATATATATATATATATATATATATATATATATAATATATATAATCATTCACTCCACTGTTTTGCTAGAGGCGCGGTTACACTACAGTCATAAAACACCCACAAGTGGCTTCAAAAACAACCATAAGAGGCTTCACGAACACCCACAAGAGGCTTCACAACCCCACAAGAGGTTTCGCAAACACACAAGAGACTTCACAAACACCCCAAGAGACTTCAAAAACACCCGCAAAAGGCTTCACAACACACAAACACCTGCAAGAAGCTTCACAAACACCTGCAAGAAGCCTCACAAACACCTGGAAGAAGCTTCACAAACACCTGGAAGAAGCTACACAAATACCCAAACACACAAACTACACAAAGCTACACAAAGCTACACAAACACACACACAAGAAGTTTCACAAACACACAAGCGCCTACAAGAGGTTTTACAAACACACAAACCCCACCAGAGGCTTCACAAACACCCACAAAATACTTCACAAACACACACGAGACTTCACAAACACACTCACAAGAGGCTTCACAAACACACAAGAGGCTTCACAAACACCCACAAGAGGCTTCCCAAACACACAAGAGGCTTCACAAACACACAAAAGGCTTCACAGACGCCCACAAGAGGCTTCCCAAACACACTCACAAGAGGCTTCCCAAACACACTCACAAAAGGCTTCACAGACGCCCACAAAAGCTTCATAAACACCCACACGCTTCACAAACCCAAACCCTGCAAGAGGCTTCACAAACAAACCCCCACAAGAGGCTTCACAAACAGTATTCAAAACACAACAGAAAACGACAATATAACATTTTCTCTTACGGACGTTAATCCTTCAAACGTTTTCTGTATCCGTTCTTTGTATTTTTTTTTTTATGTATTCTAAATAAATTTATGATATTCCAACACCCTCAAATTTCAGAAATTTTTTGAAAAAAACAAAAAGAATCTTTGCAGTCAATGCTTTGAGTTTTATTGTAGTTTACCCATAAAAATATAGTTATCATAGTTTGCCCTTCCAAACTTTATTATAGTGACCTTCATTTTTATTGCAGTTAGCCCTGTAAAGTCTTATTTCAACAAGTCATTTAAACTTTATTATTCTTAACACCCCAAAGTTTTTTTTAATTAAGTACCTCAGACTTTATTATAGTTAAGCCCCTTAAGTTTATTTTAATTACCCTTCTAAACTTTATTACAGTTATCGTCTCAAGCTCTTACTCAAGCTCTTACTCAACCTCTTACTCAACAGGATGTAGTGTTTGTGCACCTCAACAGCAGCTACATTAGCAGCAACAGCACACACAGCACCTGTATTCACATCAACAGCACACACAGCCGTTGCATTAACAGCAGCAGCACACACAGCCGTTGCATTAACAGGAGAAGCACACACAGCCGTTGCATTAACAGCAGCAGCACACAGCCGTTGCATTAACAGCAGTAGCATACACAGCCGTTGTATTAACATCAGAAGCACACACAGCTGTTGCATTAGCAGCAGCACACACAGCCGTTGCATTAACAGCAACAGCACACACAGCCGTTGCATTAACAGCAGCAGCACACACAGGCAAGTAGATCTAAAACTCGCATGTAAATCTCAAGTGTTCTGGGTTTTCTATCCCATCGCCAGTGAGTAGCTAAGGTCTTAGACTATCCATGTGTACCTAGCTGTGGTGGTCTTAGACCATCCATGTGTACCTAACTGTGGTGGTCTTAGACCATCCATATGTACCTAACTGTGGTGGTCTTAGACCATCCATGTGTACCTAACTGTGGTGGTTTTAGACCATCCATATGTACCTAACTATGGTGGTGTTAGACCATTCATGTGTACCTAACTGTGGTGGTGTTAGACCATCAGTGTAAAGAAGATTGTTCCAGTCACAATGCCGTGACTGGAACAATACAGTCTTGCAGTGTCTGCAATAGAAGACACTGTCATGTAGATTCGGGTGTCATCTGCAAAGGAAGACGCGGTGCTGTGGCTGACATCCTTGTCTATGTCAGATAAGAGGATGAGAAACAAGATGGGAGCGAGTACGGTGCCTTGTGGAACAGAGCATTTCACCGTAGCCGCCTCAGACTTTACTCTGTTGACTACTACTCTTTGTGTTCTGTTTGTGAGGAAATTATAGACCCATCTACCAACTTTTCCTGTTATGCCTTCAGCACGCATTTTGTGCGCTATTACGCCATGGCCTTCGACAAGTGTGACCAAGGCGTAATAGCGCACAAAATGCGTGCTAAAGGAATAACAGGAAAAGTTGGTAGATGGATCTATAATTTCCTCACCAACAGAATACAAAGAGTAGTAGTCAACAAAGTCTGAATCGGCTACGGTGAAAAGCTCTGTTCCACAAGGCACAGTACTCGCTCCCATCTTGTTTCTCATCCTCATACCTGCCATAGACAAGGATGTCAGCCACAGCACCGTGTCTTCCTTTGCAGATGACACCCGAATCTGCATGACAGTGTCTTCCATTGCAGACACTGCAAGGCTCCAGGCGGACATCAACCAAATCTTTCAATGGGCTGCAGAAAACAATATGAAGTTCAACGATGAAAAATTTCAATTACTCCGATATGGTAAACACGAGGAAATTAAAACTTCATTAGAGTACAAAACAAATTCCTTTCACAAAATAGAACGAGAAAGCAACGTGAAAGACCTGGGAGTGATCCGACGTTTGGGTCCGACTTGGACCATTTACAAGTCACAGAAGAGGTAGGGAGAGGAAGAGAATACAAGATCAGATCAGGTCACGAGTGTTCTGAAGTTTGGAGCATTTGACAGTGTAATCAGAAAGGTAGGCATCTATACAGAGACAAAGCCACGACTACCATTCATGTTTGGAAAGCTGTGCATAAGATATGTTTTAACAAGATGACGTCTGTGCAGGCTAGTGTTTACGTTCCCACTCTTATGGGTCATTAGTTCTGCAGTGATCGTTTTTCTTGTCCTTAGACTTACTTCACTTATACTTTAATACTATTATACTACCACTACTACCACGACAACCAATACTACTATTAGTGTGTCGCTTCGTTCCACTTGTGCCACTACCACTACTCCCCCTACTTACAACTACCACTACTCCCCCTACTTACAACTACCACTACTCCCCCTATTTACCACTACCACTACTCCCCCTACTTGCCCCTACCACTACTCCTACTTGCCACTACCACTACTCCCCCTACTTGCCACTACCACTACTCCCCCTACTTGCCACTACCACTACTCCCCCTACTTGCCACTACCACTACTCCCCCTACTTGCCACTACCACTACTCCCCCTACTTGCCACTACCACTACTCCCCTACTTGCCACTACCACTACTCCCCCTACTTGCCACTACCACTACTCCCCCTACTTGCCACTACCACTACTCCCCTTACCACTACCACTACTCCCCCTACTTGCCACTACCACTACTCCCCCTTACCACTCCCACTACTCCCCCTATTTACCACTACCACTACTCCCCCTATTTACCACTACCACTACTCCCCTACTTACCACTACTACTACTTCTACTGTCAGCATTATCTCTACCACTACTTCTCCACTTCCTTCTTTCCTCCTCTTTTTGTCCCGTCACTCTCCCCCTCCGCTATGCATACTGGCTCCCTCACCTTCGTGTGTTATTGTGACTTGTAAATAATCCAAGTCGGACCGAAAAGTTGTTATAAGCTTCTCTCTCTTATGTGCGAGTTATGTGTGTATCATGAGTGTTGGTGACTGTGGTGGTCGTACTCTTTACTGAACTTCACTTGTGGTGGTCGTACACTTTACTGAACTTCACTTGTGGTGGTCGTACACTTTACTGAACTTCACTTGTGGTTGTCGTACACTTTACTGAACTTCACTTGTGGTGGTCGTACACTTTACTGAACTTCACTTGTGGTGGTCGTACACTTTACTGAACTTCACTTGTGGTTGTCGTACACTTTACTGAACTTCACTTGTGGTGGTCGTACACTTTACTGAACTTCACTTGTGGTGGTCGTACACTTTACTGAACTTCACTTGTGGTGGTCGTACACTTTACTGAACTTCACTTGTGGTGGTCGTACACTTTACTGAACGATTCTAGAGTCATTTTTTTAAGGTGATTTTGTCGTCTTGATGCAGTCACTGAAGAGACGTCAGTACGTCTTGATACTGTCACTAAACAGACGCCAGTACGTCTTGATACAGTCACTAAACAGTCGTCAGTACGTCTTGATACAGTCAAAGAACAGATTTCATGATAACTTCAGAATCCCCTATCTCTCGTGTAAGAGGGTCCACACGGGTTTAGCGTGATGTTCTAGTGGGTTTAGGAACGATTGGTGCACATTTGTTCCTGGAAGGTTTAGTTCAGCACCAAAGCTCCGTGTACTCACATGCGACATATAGAAAGTCCAGATTTCCACAAAAACAAAATCTCTAATGTAGATCGATACCTTCTATCTCGGCCCAGTAATGTGACCCAGTAGTTACAGAATTAACCTCACCAGATGAGCGTAAGATGTGTGAGTAGTTGCAGCAGCTAGATGCGTCCCGTGAAGACCGGAGAACAAAACCATTCCAGATGCAATTCGCGATCCACAGAAATTGTTCAGCAGAGACACAGAGAGAGAGAGAGTGAGAACAGGATAGGAGCCACGGGGCTGTGAGACTTACTGTCCACATCAGTGACACAACACAGGAAGGATGAACTGATAACTGCTAGTAGTGCCAGGCTCTCAAAGGTGCCAAATGCACTTTTAAAGAAATGTAACTTTGACAAACATATCAGTAGAGGATTTGGTAGATGGAAAATGTAATTTACAAAGGGCCTTAAGACAGACAAGAGCAGTTTTTAAAGATATGAGAATAATCCGTCTTCCTCCACACGACTTTCATGTCAAATCCAGTTTCAGGCATATTTAGAAATCTTGAACTTTGAATGATGATTTCTAAACGAAGATTTAGAATATTTAGCAACAAAATTAGAGCATAGAACTCTTATATAATTGTATTCATAAATTCGTGAAAAATTTTGGATGTTGGAATAGTGTTGTTTTATATTCATTTGATTTTATTTACTTTGTGTCTTTAACTTGTCTTTTGGCACTCTCAGTGTGGCTCTTTGTGACTATTGTGGCTCTTTGTGACTATTGTGGCTCTTTGTGACTATTGTGGCTCTTTGTGACTATTGTGGCTCTTTGTGACTAATGTGGCTCTTTGTGACTAATGTGGCTCTTTGTGACTAATGTGGCTCTTTGTGACTAATGTGGCTCTTTGTGACTAATGTGGCTCTTTGTGACTAATGTGGCTCTTTGTGACTATTGTGGCTCTTTGTGACTAATGTGGCTCTTTGTGACTAATGTGGCTCTTTGTGACTAATGTGGCTCTTTGTGACTAATGTGGCTCTTTGTGACTAATGTGGCTCTTTGTGACTAATGTGGCTCTTTGTGACTAATGTGGCTCTTTGTGACTAATGTGGCTCTTTGTGACTAATGTGGCTCTTTGTGACTAATGTGGCTCTTTGTGACTAATGTGGCTCTTTGTGACTATTGTGGCTCTTTGTGACTAATGTGGCTCTTTGTGACTAATGTGGCTCTTTGTGACTATTGTGGCTCTTTGTGACTAATGTGGCTCTTTGTGACTAATGTGGCTCTTTGTGACTAATGTGGCTCTTTGTGACTAATGTGGCTCTTTGTGACTAATGTGGCTCTTTGTGACTAATGTGGCTCTTTGTGACTAATGTGGCTCTTTGTGACTAATGTGGCTCTTTGTGACTAATGTGGCTCTTTGTGACTAATGTGGCTCTTTGTGACTAATGTGGCTCTTTGTGACTAATGTGGCTCTTTGTGACTATTGTGGCTCTTTGTGACTAATGTGGCTCTTTGTGACTAATGTGGCTCTTTGTGACTAATGTGGCTCTTTGTGACTAATGTGGTTCTTTGTGACTAATGTGGCTCTTTGTGACTAATGTAGCTCTTTGTGACTAATGTGGCTCTTTGTGACTATTGTGGCTCTTTGTGACTATTGTGGCTCTTTGTGACTATTGTGGCTCTTTGTGACTATTGTGGCTCTTTGTGACTAATGTGGCTCTTTGTGACTAATGTGGCTCTTTGTGACTAATGTGGCTCTTTGTGACTATTGTGGCTCTTTGTGACTATTGTGGCTCTTTGTGACTATTGTGGCTCTTTGTGACTAATGTGGCTCTTTGTGACTATTGTGGCTCTTTGTGACTATTGTGGCTCTTTGTGACTATTGTGGCTCTTTGTGACTATTGTGGCTCTTTGTGACTATTGTGGCTCTTTGTGACTAATGTGGCTCTTTGTGACTAATGTGGCTCTTTGTGACTAATGTGGCTCTTTGTGACTATTGTGGCTCTTTGTGACTATTGTGGCTCTTTGTGACTATTGTGGCTCTTTGTGACTATTGTGGCTCTTTGTGACTAATGTGGCTCTTTGTGACTAATGTGGCTCTTTGTGACTAATGTGGCTCTTTGTGACTAATGTGGCTCTTTGTGACTATTGTGGCTCTTTGTGACTATTGTGGCTCTTTGTGACTAATGTGGCTCTTTGTGACTAATGTGGCTCTTTGTGACTATTGTGGCTCTTTGTGACTAATGTGGCTCTTTGTGACTAATGTGGCTCTTTGTGACTATTGTGGCTCTTGTGACTATTGTGGCTCTTTGTGACTAATGTGGCTCTTTGTGACTAATGTGGCTCTTTGTGACTATTGTGGCTCTTTGTGACTAATGTGGCTCTTTGTGACTAATGTGGCTCTTTGTGACTAATGTGGCTCTTTGTGACTAATGTGGCTCTTTGTGACTATTGTGGCTCTTTGTGACTAATGTGGCTCTTTGTGACTAATGTGGCTCTTTGTGACTATTGTGGCTCTTTGTGACTAATGTGGCTCTTTGTGACTAATGTGGCTCTTTGTGACTAATGTGGCTCTTTGTGACTAATGTGGCTCTTTGTGACTATTGTGGCTCTTTGTGACTAATGTGGCTCTTTGTGACTAATGTGGCTCTTTGTGACTATTGTGGCTCTTTGTGACTATTGTGGCTCTTTGTGACTAATGTGGCTCTTTGTGACTAATGTGGCTCTTTGTGACTAATGTGGCTCTTTGTGACTAATGTGGCTCTTTGTGACTATTGTGGCTCTTTGTGACTAATGTGGCTCTTTGTGACTAATGTGGCTCTTTGTGACTAATGTGGCTCTTTGTGACTAATGTGGCTCTTTGTGACTATTGTGGCTCTTTGTGACTAATGTGGCTCTTTGTGACTAATGTGGCTCTTTGTGACTAATGTGGCTCTTTGTGACTAATGTGGCTCTTTGTGACTAATGTGGCTCTTTGTGACTAATGTGGCTCTTTGTGACTAATGTGGCTCTTTGTGACTATTGTGGCTCTTTGTGACTAATGTGGCTCTTTGTGACTAATGTGGCTCTTTGTGACTATTGTGGCTCTTTGTGACTATTGTGGCTCTTTGTGACTAATGTGGCTCTTTGTGACTAATGTGGCTCTTTGTGACTAATGTGGCTCTTTGTGACTAATGTGGCTCTTTGTGACTATTGTGGCTCTTTGTGACTAATGTGGCTCTTTGTGACTATTGTGGCTCTTTGTGACTAATGTGGCTCTTTGTGACTAATGTGGCTCTTTGTGACTAATGTGGCTCTTTGTGACTAATGTGGCTCTTTGTGACTATTGTGGCTCTTTGTGACTATTGTGGCTCTTTGTGACTAATGTGGCTCTTTGTGACTAATGTGGCTCTTTGTGACTAATGTGGCTCTTTGTGACTAATGTGGCTCTTTGTGACTAATGTGGCTCTTTGTGACTAATGTGGCTCTTTGTGACTAATGTGGCTCTTTGTGACTAATGTGGCTCTTTGTGACTATTGTGGCTCTTTGTGACTATTGTGGCTCTTTGTGACTAATGTGGCTCTTTGTGACTAATGTGGCTCTTTGTGACTAATGTGGCTCTTTGTGACTAATGTGGCTCTTTGTGACTAATGTGGCTCTTTGTGACTAATGTGGCTCTTTGTGACTAATGTGGCTCTTTGTGACTAATGTGGCTCTTTGTGACTATTGTGGCTCTTTGTGACTATTGTGGCTCTTTGTGACTAATGTGGCTCATTGTGACTAATGTGGCTCTTTGTGACTAATGTGGCTCATTGTGACTAATGTGGCTCTTTGTGACTAATGTGGCTCATTGTGACTAATGTGGCTCTTTGTGACTAATGTGGCTCATTGTGACTAATGTGGCTCTTTGTGACTAATGTGGCTCATTGTGACTAATGTGGCTCTTTGTGACTAATGTGGCTCATTGTGACTATATGTGGCTCTTTGTGACTAATGTGGCTCATTGTGACTAATGTGGCTCTTTGTGACTATTGTGGCTCTTTGTGACTAATGTGGCTCTTTGTGACTATTGTGGCTCTTTGTGACTATTGTGGCTCTTTGTGACTATTGTGGCTCTTTGTGACTATTGTGGCTCTTTGTGACTATTGTGGCTCTTTGTGACTATTGTGGCTCTTTGTGACTAATGTGGCTCATTGTGACTAATGTGGCTCTTTGTGACTAATGTGGCTCATTGTGACTAATGTGGCTCTTTGTGACTATTGTGGCTCTTTGTGACTAATGTGGCTCATTGTGACTAATGTGGCTCTTTGTGACTAATGTGGCTCATTGTGACTAATGTGGCTCTTTGTGACTAATGTGGCTCATTGTGACTAATGTGGCTCTTTGTGACTATTGTGGCTCTTTGTGACTAATGTGGCTCATTGTGACTAATGTGGCTCTTTGTGACTATTGTGGCTCTTTGTGACTATTGTGGCTCTTTGTGACTATTGTGGCTCTTTGTGACTAATGTGGCTCATTGTGACTAATGTGGCTCTTTGTGACTAATGTGGCTCTTTGTGACTAATGTGGCTCTTTGTGACTAATGTGGCTCTTTGTGACTAATGTGGCTCTTTGTGACTAATGTGGCTCTTTGTGACTATTGTGGCTCTTTGTGACTAATGTGGCTCTTTGTGACTATTGTGGCTCTTTGTGACTAATGTGGCTCTTTGTGACTATTGTGGCTCTTTGTGACTAATGTGGCTCTTTGTGACTATTGTGGCTCTTTGTGACTAATGTGGCTCTTTGTGACTATTGTGGCTCTTTGTGACTAATGTGGCTCTTTGTGACTATTGTGGCTCTTTGTGACTATTGTGGCTCTTTGTGACTAATGTGGCTCTTTGTGACTATTGTGGCTCTTTGTGACTAATGTGGCTCTTTGTGACTAATGTGGCTCTTTGTGACTAATGTGGCTCTTTGTGACTATTGTGGCTCTTTATGACTAATGTGGCTCTTTGTGACTAATGTGGCTCTTTGTGACTATTGTGGCTCTTTGTGACTATTGTGGCTCTTTATGACTAATGTGGCTCTTTGTGACTAATGTGGCTCTTTGTGACTATTGTGGCTCTTTGTGACTATTGTGGCTCTTTGTGACTAATGTGGCTCTTTGTGACTAATGTGGCTCTTTGTGACTATTGTGGCTCTTTGTGACTATTGTGGCTCTTTGTGACTAATGTGGCTCTTTGTGACTAATGTGGCTCTTTGTGACTATTGTGGCTCTTTGTGACTATTGTGGCTCTTTGTGACTAATGTGGCTCTTTGTGACTAATGTGGCTCTTTGTGACTATTGTGGCT